TTTCGTGGGTTGCAAAAGTTGATACAAGATGAAAATCCTTATGCATTTTATATCCATTGCTTTGCCCATCAGTTGCAGTTTGTGGTTGTTGCTGTTGCCAAGTGTTGTTCCTCTGTAATGGATTTCTTTAACCACATAACTTTGATTGCCAACACCGTCAATGCTTCTTGTAAGAGACATGATGAACTAGCTCAACAACAACATGACAATATTGTAAGCCAATTGGAGTCTGGGGAAATTTTTTCAGGAAGAGGGAAAAACCAAGCAACCAACCTTGTACGCCCTGGGGATACACGGTGGGGCACACATCATAAAACTTTGTGTCGCTTTCTAACTATGTGGAAATCTGTTTTGCAAGTGTTAGAGAACATTCATGATGATGCAGAAAATTTAGCACAAAGAAGCACATCAGGTGGCTTGATTTCTCAGATGGAAAGCTTCAATTTGTTTTCATGTTGCATCTAATGATCAAACTATTGGGCAAGACTAATGAGTTGTCACAATGTTTGCAAAGGAAAGATCAAAACATTGTTCTTGCAGTGAGCTTGATCGGGGTCACATTGCAGAAACTTCAAGATATAAGAGAAATGGTTGGGATCAGCTCTTGGAAGAGACAAATGAATTTTGTTTTAAACATAGCATTCTATTACCAAACATGGATGATACAATACCAGCTCGAGGTCGTTCAAGGGGGCGTGGCGGTCAAATGGTAACTTATTATCATTGCTTTAGATATGAATTGTTCAATGTTATGCATGACCAAGTTATTACTGAGTTAAATAACCGCTTTGCTGAGAGATCTACTCAATTGTTAAGATACATTGCTTATCTTGATCCAAGGAACTCGTTTGCTATTTTTGATGAAGACAAACTTGTTGAACTTGCTAAGATGTACGCTGATGACTTCTCCACATATGAGATTTCGTTTGTCCTTAGAAATTAGCTTGAAACATTCATTGCGGATGTGAGAGCTAATCCAAATTTTTTGAGTTGTAATGACCTTGGTAATCTTGCTGTGAAGATGGTTCAGACTGGTAGACACATTGTTTTCCCTTTGGCATATCGCCTCATTGAGTTGGCATTAATTTTGCCTGTTGCAACCGCATCGGTGGAAAGAGCTTTCTCAGCTATGAGTATTATCAAGACAGAGTTGAGGAATAGGATGAGTGATGACTAGCTTAATTATAGGATGGTTTGCTATATTGAGCGAGATATATTTCAAGTACTGGCGATGATGATATTGTATATCGATTTCAATCATATAGGTCTCGCAAAGGGCTTTTACCTCGTCGAAGTGGTAAGTTCATATTTGTATCAATGATAATTCTTTCACTTGATATCTATGCCTTCTCTTATGAAAATTTTCTTTTCATGTCTTGAAGGTGTTGGCTCTTCTTCCACCAATGATGAGGTTATGTGACGCACTGATGAAGAAAATCATTGATTTGGTACCTTTTTTTATACATACTGTTCTTTGTAGTTCTTGACACGTTTTTATCTATTTTGTCGTACCATTAAGCATTGAGCTTAAATTCTAAATTTTTCTTGCAATTGAGACATATTTTGTATGGGGTTTCTTTTATGGTAGCTAAAAGCCTTATGGACGTTAATTTTTTTTCCTTGGGGCAAAATTTTTTTTAGGCCTGGGGCTTGCTCCAATCCTGGCTCCGGCACTGAGTATGGGCATCCAGGTCCCGCTATTGTTATTGACCGGAGAGGAGTCTCGGTCATGTCTACATGATTTTCGAACCCGTAGGGTCGCACGCTTAACGTTCGGGTAGTATTGAGATATTAATAGTGGAAAGTCAGAAGGTTGTTTGGAGTTCCGGATGGGATCCGGGACATCACGAAGAGCTCCGGAATAGTCCGGAGGTAAAGATTCATATATGGAAAGTTGTTATCGGTGTTCCGGAAAAAGTTTGAGTTTTTTCGGTATTGTATCGGGAAGGTTCTAAAAGGTTCCGAAGTGGGGCCTGATACGTCCATTTTGCATCATGTTTTCCTACTGTTATTTATGTTTTTTATTGTATAATAATACTTTTTGGAGTAATTCTAATGCCTTTTCTCTCATAATATGCAAAGTATGCACAAATGGGGAGAATTCTGGCAGCTGGAAATCTGGACCTGAAAAAGCTACGTCAAGCTACCTATTCTGCACAACTCAAAATGAGCTGAAACTTCCCGAGGAATTTTTATGGAATATTTAAGAATTATTGGAGCAAATAAGTACCAGAGGGGGCCCACCAGGTGGGCACAACCCACCTGGGCGCGACAGGAGGCCCAGGGGCGCCCTGGTGGGTGCTGCCCTCCTCGGCCCACCTTCGGTGTCCATCTTCTGGTATATAAGTCATTTTGACCTAAAAAAATAAATAAGAGGAGGACTTTCGGGACGAAGCACCGCCGCCTTGAGACGGAACTTGGGCAGGAGCACTTTTGCCCTCCGACGGAGCGATTTCGCAGGGGAGAATTTCCCTCCCGGAGGGGGAAATCATCGTCATCATCATCACCAACAACTCTCCCATCTTGGGCAGGGCTATCTTCATCAACATCTTTAACATCACCAACTCCTCTCAAATCCTAGTTCATCTTTTGTGTTCAATCTTTGTACCAAAACTATAGATTGGTGCTTGTGGGTGACTAGTAGTGTTGATTACATCTTGTAGTTGATTATTATATGGTTTATTTGGTGGAAGATTATATGTTCAGATCCATTATGCTATTTAATACCCCTCTGATCTTGAGCATGATTATCATTTGTGAGTAGTTACTTTCATTCTTGAGGTCACGGGAGAAATCATGTTGCAAGTAATCATGTGAACTTGATATGTGTTTGATATTTTGATGATATGTTATCATTCTCTAAGTGGTGTCATGTGAACGTCGACTACATGACACTTCACCATATTTGGCCCTAAGGGAATGCATTGTGGAGTAATTATTAGATGATGGGTTGCGACAGTGATAGAAACTTAAACCCCAGTTTATGCGCTATTCCGTAAGGGACCGATTGGATCCAAAAGGGACCGATTGGATCCAAAAATTTAATGATATGGTTAGACTTTATTCTTAATACTTTTCTCGTAGTTGCGGATGCTTGCGAAAGGGTTGATCATAAGTAGGAGGTTTGTTCAAGTAAGAACAACACCTAAGCACCGGCCCACCCACGTATCAAATTATCAAAGTGCAAACACGAATTAAGCCAACATGATAAAAGTGACTAGATAAAATTTCCGTGTACCCTCAAGAATACTTTGCTTATCATAAGAGACTGTTTCGGCGTATCCTTTGCCTCAAAAGGATTGACCTACCTTACTGCACTTTTGTTACTACTGTCGTTACTTGCCGTTACAAATTATCTTGCTATCAAACTACTCCGCTACTTACAATTTTAGCACCTGCAGACATTATCTTGCTGAAAATCACTTGTCATTTTCTACTGCTCCTCATTGGGTTCGACACTCTTACTTATCGAAAAAGCTACAATTGACCCCATATACTTATGAGTTATCAGGGCCCATCTACATGGAGGACCTACATGAACTTGGGTAGTGGAGAAAGTCCCCACAACCCTAGTCTAGATGCACCAAGATCCTCCTTTAAAAGAAATAATATCATATCTCAAGGGATAAGATCACGATCCATAAAAAGGGGATCGGCGGCCTTGTTTCGTGGCAGGCTGAAGGCCGACCCGGTCCTTTTGTTTCGCGTATCCGTGGGCCGGTCCGCCAGGCACGGCCCATATGTCTAGGTTTGATCGTGATTTGTCGTCCACTCCTGCCATCTTCCTCGCTTCGCCCCAAATCCATTCCCCTCCGCCCCCTTCCCGTTGTCGAACAAACCTTCTGCACCCCGATCCGGCCTAGTTCGCTGGCGTCTCCACCCGATCGACTCCACTGCAGTATGCTATAGCCCGTGGAGCCTGGGGCGTTGGTTGTCCGGCAGTCGATTCCCGCGGGATCTGCCGGGGCGCCCGGAGCCGGAGGTATGATCCGCAGTATCTGCTCTGCTCGATTGGTCTTGGTCTACCATCTGGTGGATCGATCGGCTGCAATTGCGTTGATTCTTCCGTTCGTCTGGGCGTTAACTCGTGATTGCGTACGATGACGGGAGCAGTTGCGCTGCGCTGTAGACGTAGCTTGATCGATCCGTTTTGCCTGACGAAGCACAGTTGCTTTTTGCATTAGCTTGACTCCAGTCAGGAGAAAATTAATCATCTGAGCACATACAACGTGGTGCTTGCCTGAGATTGCTTAGCGACGGGAATTCTCCCAGAAGACACGTGGAATTGTCGATCGAAGGGTAGGATTGAGATGGTTCTGATGTTCACTGGGAAGATTATTTTGAATGCAATTGTTTCACCTGTTTGCACTCTGTTGCAGCTCACCTCCATTTATTATGGGCCAAACTTACATTCAATAACACGACGACCCAGTTTTATATCTTTTTATGTTTTGTCCATTTCATTTAGTTCTTATTTATTAACTCTTTGTTCAGATTTCTGTATTGGAGACCTCCGTATTGAATTGGTTTCATTTCCAATTCGGAGCGGAAACTGTAATGGACATGAATACGAATTCACATGTTTGGAAGCTCATTTAATTGGCCATGGAATCTCAATACTAAATCCTGTTCGGTTGACAGACTATGGAATTGCATATGCTTTATGTTTTATGCATCAAATCAAAATCAGAGGAACATGCCCATAAGTTCATCTATCATTACTAACAGTTACTGTTTATTTAGACATTGCACAATTTTGGAATAATTCGTACGAGTAGTCAAAGTAGCTCATAACTTTGTTGGTAATAATAGTTTTTTTCTTCGAGAGTACGCAAATTGTGTACCATATTTTTATAGAAGGCAGAGAAGATTTGTGGAAAATGAGCTGTTTGGTTTGCAAAAAAAATTGTTAATGCTGCAGCACTATTGGATATAATTCACGATTTTTCTTTCGTTGCCTTTCAAGTCATCTGGCGATATGGTTTCTGCAGAAGGCGACGATGTCAACCCCTGCAAGGAAGAGGCTGATGAGGGATTTCAAACGACTGATGCAGGATCCTCCTGCGGGCATAAGTGGTGCACCTCAGGATAACAATATAATGCTGTGGAATGCTGTAATTTTTGGGTAAGACGCCGGCTTCATGATTCTATATTTTATATATACTTTATATAGGTTAGTCATACTGAAGTATCATCTCCTTATGTTGTGTTCTCTTGTTTTTCAGTCCTGATGATACTCCCTGGGATGGTGGTAAGTTTATTTAATAGCCTTTAAGTTTATTATAGATTGTGGTTGGGAGAATAATCACAAACTCATGAGCATGTTATCATGCATTCTACTCTGTTTTCAGTACCTGACATAATTAATATGTTAACATAGTTTTCTTTCTTGATATCTCAGTTGATTTATGTAACTAGGAAACCATTTACTTCCCGTGCCAATAAGAACCTTACCATTTACTTACTGTGCCAATAAGAACCTTACCATTTACTTCCTGTGCCAATAAGAACCCAAATCGACGTGGCTACACTTCACTTATTTCTTCATGCTGCTCTATTGAGCTCTCCAAAACATCTGGTTCATCTGCATGATATTTTCTCTTGTTGATGTTCAGCCTAGGAACATGTAGCAAACATTTTACATCTTTACCAGATATCTTTAGCTATTTTTCATGTCAAATTTACATTCAAACTCTTCATATGTTTTACGTCTACTAATTCACTGAAGCAATGCCATTTCAGATTTCTCTCGATATGAAAGTTTGGGGTGTAAACATTTGATAAAGTAGTTTGATAATGTTTTAAATACTTGTAAATGACAGTGCATTCTAAGTTTCTAACTGATGGATTAATTATTTAAATGTTAAACTCATCTGTTAGTTAGGGTTTGTTATTCATGTTCCTTTTCTGGTCCTTGCTTGTCATATTTCTAATGTTTTTTCACTAAATTTTGAGCCTTTTGTTTATAACTGAACCAGTATTGAATTTTCGGGTTGAGTCATCTAGTCATATATGATATTTGTTCATGGATTTTGTAGTTTATTAAAACGAAATATGTATTGGTTTCATGTTACCAGTAAAGCCTTTTGTGCTTACTATGTCAGGTACGTTCAAGCTGACACTTCAGTTTACTGAAGATTATCCTAATAAGCCACCTACAGTGCGGTTTGTTTCTCGAATGTTTCATCCCAATAGTAAGCCTTTTGTGCCCTTGTTAATACTGATTGTGTGGGTTATCTCCTTCTTTAAGTCTAGGATCCTAGTAAAGTATTGATGTAGCACTCCAAAGTAAATATAGGTTTCCAAGAGAACATATGAAATGCGAACTTGCAACAAAATAGGTTAACAGGAACTACTAATCCTAGCCATTTAATTTGATCAAAATGATTTACATTAAATACCAAAAGCTAGCATCACTTTCATCCAAAGTTGATCTAGTTGCTGAGATTTAAGTTTTCGTTCTCCTATTTTAAGGTCTGTTCCTACCTGCTACATGCTGAAATCTTCAATTGTGGTTCTATATGCTTCATTGTAGTGGTTTCAGAACACTGAATGTGATAGCAATTGTACAGATTCAACTAATGCTTCTTTGAGTTGACAAATTTGCCTTTCTCTTTTCTTATGTCAGTATTAGTGACGTTTAGTTTACTATAATTAGAATTCTAGATGGTGACCAATAGCCGCGCAGCCTTTACAGCATATTTGAGAGTACATAGTGTTTAAAGTGACCCTTTTTTTTGCGTCTTCTGTAATTATTCTCTGGTTGCAAGAACCTTATAGTGGCATTACGTTTTCGCTCCCATTCATTTTATTTCCTAACATATTGTTTTACTGCAAGCAGTTTATGCAGATGGAAGCATATGTTTAGATATTCTCCAAAACCAGTGGAGCCCGATATATGATGTAGCTGCTATATTGACATCCATTCAGGTAGATGTCACCCTATCATTAGTCTAGTCAATTCTTGCTAGCTCTAGTTCTCGCAACATGCTGCTTACAACTTGAAGTTTTATCGTGAAATATGCTGAGCAAACCCACCCAACAAGGATTCTTTAATTCTCACCAACTTGACTGATATTTCTTTGATATTCATGTGAATTGTTCCGTGTAGAAACTACTACTCCCTGCGGTCCGGTGTGTAGGGATTCTAGTGAAAATTTATTTGTTCTGAAACTACTCAGAAATTTAGCCCGCAATCATTAATTAGCCTAATTAATCGGCGGAGCTGGCCCTCTCTCTTCCCCTAGAATAACTCCTGGGCGCACCCGAGTCCATTTTTTCCAGTGATGTAAAACAGTTTCACTCATGCACATGTGAAAAGGAATCTACATGGATTTCTCGCCTCCTCTTCCTGGTTGCATTCGCATGGATCGCTCGCCTCCGCTTCCCGCTGAAACGCTCGCATCCTCTACGTATAAAAGCAACACCGGCGGTGATGGAAGGAGAAGCAGAGGGATGGACTTGGCCGGGTGGTGCAAGATGGATCAAGAAAGTCGATACTGTTGTTGAGAATTGGGTGGAGTCCTATGGAGATTGGAGATGCCTTGTTGGAGGAGGGTCAAGCCATGGTTGAAGAGGAGGTTCATGCCGTGGTGGAGACGGAGGGCTATGCCATGGTGGAGGGCTATGCCATGATCAAAACACAATCTCAAACTTAGATAGAATGACCCATTTTCATGCATACATAACCTAATTAGCCTCGGTATCCGGCACAAACTTCACATCCTCTTCATCATCTACATAATTGGAGGGGTTGCGACCGCAAGCAATGCATATGCCATCTTTATCAAGCCCCACCGTAATTGAACAATCCTTGCGCCAATAGTTGAGAGGAAGAAGAGGGTTGTTGCACACGTCGCAACGACGCAAGTCCTTTGACACCGAGAGCCTGCATCCATAGCAAAGAAAAAACGAGTGCTCCCTGCACACCACACTTGTTGCGCAACGGGGCAAATATGCAAGCTTCACATGTAGAAGAGAGCACGGCGATGGGTTCGGAGGGCACCAAGCGAGTGGTGTGGATGACTTCAATCCGGGCAAACAACTCGTCCATGCGTGCACGATGACGATCATAATCAGCCAACATCGTGCACGGCGACGCTCAATGACATCGGCGTCATCAACCTTGGCTTGGCCCTCCACTACGACATGGCCAACCTCTTCCACCACGACTTGGACCTCCTCTTCCACCACGCCTTGGCCGTCCTCGTCCACCACGGCATCTACCTCCACATCCACCACGGCATGGCCCTCCACCATGGCATGACCCTTCATCTCCACCACGGCATGAACCTCCTCTTTGACCACGGCTTGACCCTCCTCTAACACGGCATCTCCAATCTCCATAGACTCCACCCAATTCTCAACAACAGTGACTTTCTCAATCCATTTTGCATCACCTGGCCAAGTCCATCCCTCCCCTTCTCCTTCCATCACCGCCGGTGTCGCTTTTATATGTAGAGGATGCGAGCGTTTTAGCTTTTGGGAACAAGAGGCGAGCGATCCATGCGAACGCAACCAGGAAGAGGAGGTGAGCGATCCATGCAGATTCATTTTCACATGTGCATGCGTGAAACCGTTTTACACCACCGAGGAAAAGGACCTGAGTGAGCCCAGGAGTATTCTAGGGGGAGAGAGAGCGCCAACTATGCTGATTAATTAGGCTAATTAATGATTGCGGGGCCTTACTCCTGAGCAGTTTCGGAACAAATAGATTTTCACTACGAGCCCTACACACCGGACCGGAGGGAGTATGTTTTAAGTTTTGATTTAGGGAACAGTACACTCAGGGAAATAATCCAGAAATCAATTACCAATAGTAGATTGCTAACTTCTGTACCCATTCCCTGTTGACGTAGCTGGTTATGAACGGTAAATGGAGATAGTAAAACAATTCATATCAAAATTTATCTGACCATCTGCTTATAGGCTTGCTGTACAATGTACAGCCATGACGGTGAAATACAAGTATCTGAAAAAGAACATAACCATACGTACCAGTCCTTGTACCTGCTTTTGTTGCTTCAGTGAGAGTGACTTAGATGCAGCAGATACTAAACAACAAATGTGAAAATCACTAGTCATTTTTATCTGTCAAGCAATCCAATTTATCTTGTTATATTGGCAAAGTTGTTGTGTATCTGACCTGGCATTGAATAATTACAGTCACTGCTTTGCGACCCAAACCCAAATTCACCTGCCAACTCAGAAGCCGCCCGCCTATTCAGCGAGAACAAGCGGGAATACAACCGTAAAGTACGCGAGGTTGTGGAGCAAAGCTGGACTGCAGACTAAAGTCGCTGCATCCAGTTGTGATGCCAGCTAATTGCCCGTTAGCGCCTTGAGTCCTATGTACTGAACTGCTTGCAAGGTAATTAAAATGTTACATCATGCTTTGTCGTGTATGTTGTTGGGAGTGACATTTTTAGACGCTCAGCATGGAGATTATTGTATCCAGTCTACATATAACATACCATGCTGCCTTTGAATCAGATCGAGCACAATATGGATTTGCTATATGTTAGCTCTGTTGTACTGAATGATACTGCTGAGCATAAGTTCTTCCAAGGAAGCCTCTTTTTAGCTACCAGAGGAACTGCTCAGAGCCTCAGTCAGAGCAACATCCTTTGATCTTCCAAACATGGCAGCCAAGAGGCGCGGGCACCTTCTCTTACGTTGTGGAAACCGCGACCGCCTTACTAGAGTTTATTTCTTGAGACTATTGCGGTAGGTGTTGAGAAAATAGCGCCTTCAGTTCGTTTGTCTAAGCCGGGTAGATGCTCAATGTGAGTGTTCCTTAAGAACCCGAGCTTGAGCTTCTCTGGGTGTGGAAAGATGCAAGCATTACAAACAAAAAGACAAGGAGGCACGCAATTGAAGTACTGGAATGAAGTTCTATGTTTGCTAAACAATTCTTGTGACCTGCCTTCGGGTAATTCATTTCGAATAATGTAGGCAGAGTCGGACCAGAGCCAGTTCGGCTCTCGGGCTAGGCAGCTTCCAAAAATCTGATGTCAGATTTTTAAGCATGGCAAATCGATCATTTTTTAGCTAGAAGTTGCTATACTCTTGCTAAATGAAATTGTCATTCTCATGACAACATAATTTGCCCATCTAGGACGTTCGATTTGTCATGCTTAAAAATCCGACGTTCGATTTGTAGCGAACCAACTTGTGGTTATCAAACGCCAATTCATACAAATCCAAACAAGATCAATTCCTTCGGATCCAAACATAACCTGAGTTTCCATACAAATCCCATCACCTTTTTTCTAATAAAATATCCCTTAGCTTTTTTTCCCAAGAAAAGAAACGGAAACAAAATAGGGGCCAACTTCCACATGAGTACTCCCTCCCCTTTTGTATACAAAGCTGCTATTCTATTTTTCAGATAACAAAAAAACCAAAGTAAACTAATAAATAGCATGCCAACACCATGGGGTAGGAAATTTCCCTCTCGTTAGGGTTTTCTTTCCCGCTGCCCCCGTCGACCTGGAGACCTTGTCCCACCACAAGAACGCCGGTAGTTTCTCTCGGGCTGATTAAGGGGTGACCCTCGCACCACTACCCAGCCTTGGAGTCATGTTGGTTCTCTCTCGTGGGCGTGGGTGTGTGGTTTCAGAAAGTTTTTACTCCCGTTTGTTGCTAGGGCTTGCAAAGGAAGTGATGGCTTTTGGATCAAGCTCACGTGAGAGGGATGATGTGGAGAAGATGATGAACATGTTAGGGCTTTCTGAGGAAGACCTTGATGATGTGATTTTTGAAAAGGAGGATCTACCTCCTCTTGATTCAATTCGTTGGCTAGCTATCATTAGGGTTTTGCATGGTGAAGGAATACAACGAGTTTTGGTTCTTTAAGAACATGTGCACTACCTGGAATCTCGCTCACCCCCTGAAGGTCAGATCGTTAGGGAATAATCTATTTACAACCTATTTTTATTGCCTCAGAGATTGGAACAAGGTCATGGCTGGTGGACCTTGGACTTTCATTGGTAACTCGGTTCTTCTTGCTGAATACGGTGGCTTCTCCAAACCATCATCCATTGACCTGGATTTCAAGGTTTGGATCCAAATCCATGATATGCCTAAGGCTATGTTCGGTTAGCCCCACCCCCACCGGGATTGGGCGCAAACCCCGTCGATCCACGCGGGTTTCGCCCCCGCCGGGGTCGAATCCCGGTCTCGCTGATGACAGCCTTCGGTTAGACCCGGTCTGGACCAAATCCCTCCCAAACCCCATGGAAATCGCCGGGAAACGACCCACGCGTCCCACCCCGTGGAAGCAAACCGTCGCGCGAAACGTTACGCTGCGTCTCTCTCTCTC